AATACATTGCATCACTTACAACTAATCTTGTTCCTTTGAAAACGCACTAATAAAAATATAATAGTCTCGGTAGTCTAAAGGCTTAGGACGCTCGCACGGAATGCAAGAGATCCGGATTCGACTCAATATTTGGCCGAGGCAATATTTTTCGCAGTAAGTTTATTACAATTTTTTAAGATTTGGGAAAATTTGGGGGGATTATCAGAATGATTGTGTGAATCCGATAATTTCATCGGCTCTCAATTTATTTCTGAAAAATTAATTCAATTTAAATAAACGTTAGTTCAACATCTTAACACTCGGGACTGTAAGGCGCTTCGTATTTAAAGTTTGAAAAATATAATTGTTCTGTATTAAATATATAACAAATTTAATTGAATTAATTAATTTTGCATATTACTAATATATTTTATATTATTACATCGTACAACAGAATTTGTCATACACAAAAAAATTAATTAATAAAAATAGAAATAAAATCTACACTGGAAAAAAATTCATTAAATCTTAACAATATTTCTTTAAATAATATTAAATACACATAAACTTATAAAAAACATAAATATAAATATTTTCTTAAAAAAAAAAAAATAATTACATCAAATTAATAATTTGTATCAAATAAATATTTGTTTATATCTAATAAAATTTACTTCGAAATATTCAAACAAATACTTATTAAAATTTAGTATTTTTTTCAGTGTAGCATAGAAGTATGTTCCGTTTCAAAAGATTAAGATCTAGAGGACATTTAACCGCAGTGCAAGATGAAATTATGCAATTGACTGAAAATCATGTCATTCTTTTATTATGCTTCTACTTTCACGGACATGCCGATTTTTTGTGTGTAAAATACTTGTTTTTGTTACATGGTATTTTTATTGTAGTATTGCAGTAATCGATTATTATATCTATACTATATACGTAAAACTATTGGATGAAAATTTGTCCTATACTCTTTTCTTTCTTTATCATTATGTTTTATCTCTATAGCACAATGTTCATTTAGCACAATATAGCACAATATTCATCTATTATAACTCAACCATCGATTAAAAGTAAAACATCCATAGATAAATTCACCACGATTGATCCGTACAATTCGTTCTTTGCAAATATTTATTGCGACTAAATATATGTAATATTATAAAATAGAGAAACTTGAAGATGAGAAGGGTGATGACGTTATTCATACCTATTACAGCAGTCGATGTTGTAAGACGAAAGAATTCGTTTGGAAATGTTCGCCATCTGTTTTGATCCGTAAAGTGATCACGTATTCAATGTCAGCTCGATAAAATTTCTATCAAAGTGTTGAAATGCGTTAACCTTCATCATTGTATTCTTCTTTGACGAAAGCTGGCAAAGTGAATTCTCTTCTATATCAGTCTTCAATTTTGTTCAATCTAAACTGACGAAGATTTGAAATCCGCGAAATATAATGAAAGTATTTTGTATTTCAAATAATAATACCCTTCTAAATACTTGTAAACTACAATTAATCTTGTTATTTGAGTTACAAAATACGAAATACTTTCAATTTGGAATACAAAATACCAAATACAATTATATTACAAATACTATATTGAAAATAAAAGTTTTCGAAATAGATGTTTAGCTTGATATAACGAAATCTTCGATCTAGCAAGATTGTCGCGGATGATCTAGCTTGAATCTTCATATCTTATTTCCGATTCGAAAGAATATAAATTTCGACATGTGTTTCATAAAATTTAGCAAATTTACAAGCGAAATGTCGTAGTCGTGACGTAATGATCCTATAAGAAATGACCCATTAGATATAGATATTGTAGAAGCAGTTGTATCTTGTACCATGGGCAAGTTGTTTTTTTTCATGGGACGAACGTACCATCAGAATATCTCTAGGCGAATATCCCATTAGCACTTTCACCCGCATGTATGTCCTCGGGAGCATCGCCGTTATTTCGATATTTACCATCTCAAAGAATTTACTGTTGTTATATTCATTCACTGTTGTGGTTTCGGTGATCCATTTAGTTTCACACCCGGTAGAGAGGTTTCATTTAAATGGAATTTTATTGTTATATATCTTAAGGTAAAAGTAGTTTAAATCCTCACAATATTAATATTAATAATATGATTACGCGCGCGTGCATGTATGTATATACAATACATATATAGTATATATATATATATATATATATAATATATATAATTATTATTTAAAACATTATTTAAGAGAAAACTTATATTCTCATTCATCAAATTCATTAAGTAAATTATTACATATTACTATATTTTCAAATTACATTTATAAAGAATTATAATATTTTCTGTATTTACTAAACTTCATTCTTTTATGTTTATCATATTTTATTTGAGTAAAAATATTCAGAGAAAGAGAGAGAGAGAGAGAGAGACGTATTTACGTAGTAGAAATCGGACGATTCTTATGAGCATGTCTAATTGGGATTCGACTTCTCTCGATGGCACTCGAGCTACCGGCACATCGTATGCCCTGCGGAGCGATACTTTTTGGAGATATGACCATCGCCGCCCGAGGCACGAGATCCCGAGGACCCGCGTACGTATCCGATCCCTGCGAAAGATTTCTCCAGTTCCGTTGACCCACTGACACTGAATTATCATTTGTATGTGTGTATACGTGCGTGCATGGGCCTTATGACTGCGACCTCTTACAGTACGGAAAGTCGGATTCACCGTCTGCATCTGTATGTTTTATTTCGTAGGACGACACTGTCGTACATTACAACGTCGTGTTGGGCAAGGTGATCCATTATTGAGGCTATAATCAGATAATTTTACGTGAAGGTAAAAGTGGTTTCTTGTAATATAAATAAAATTTCGAAAACATCCGCGATTTTGAAAATTCCGAAAAATTAAAAACCAATTTATCAAATCCTTTGTAATATTTCAACTTAGGTAAATGTCTCTAAACTTTATTCGCAACGACATTTTATATCTTTATTTAAATAATTTTTTAAAAATACGACAT